CGTACTAGCTAGCTAAGCATTCATTCCTACCCGCGATTTGGTCCCAAAATATATATCGTATTTGGACGACAAAATCTGGTCTTTTGCTTTACCATTTGGTACTCGAAGAACGAACACTATAGTGGTTGTTGGTATAAGATCTTGCGTTAGTATAATCCGTACAACTCGCGAACGTCGATACCTAAAGGCAACCATCTAAAACTCCAAGATGAGTTGTGCGAGGATTGGTCAAGATAGTGGTTTGTAGTGTGCAGTATGTTAGGACTCAGCTGCTGCCGTGAATGGAGTTTGACCTAACACCCGTTGGTCATTCAGTATAGTCATAAAAGTAGAATAATAATAATAGGTTGTAGTGTAGATAATATAGGTTGAGATAAGTGAAATAATAAAGGTGAAATAATAAAGATAGAAAAAAAAGATAGAGTAGTCGGTACAGCGGGAGAAGACAGGACGGGTCGTGGGGATTTAGCTTGTATGCTTATCCATTGACAATGTGGTTTCAAATTTTAAGAGGATAAGCCATTGAGACACAAACCATGCATTTCTGTATGATTGTCCAGCTTCCGCTTAAAAGTCTCCACAGATGGAGCTGTAGTTACGGCCGCCGGTAAAGCGTTCCAGAGACGGCAAACTCGAAGCGAGAATAAATGTGAACGCACTCGAGTCTTTGGTCTCTGGTGTGCTATCCTTAGCGGGTTACCTCGTGGAAGCCTATAATCACTTAATGGCAGGATGCTCTTATTAGGGTGGGCCTGGTCATTTAAGATCTTATAGACGGTGATGAGGCCTCCCCTGTGACTACGGTAACTAAGTGTGAAAAGACTTAATTTCTTCAGTCTTTCCTCATATGATATGTTGCGGAGGCCGATCACCCATTTTGTCGCTCGTCTCTGGACACTTTCTAGCATGTTAGCATCCCTTTTGAGTAGCGGAGGAGCAATGATATTATGCACCTCAAGGAGTGGCCTCACGTATGTCGTATACAACGTTAAGAATAGTTCGGGAGTAAGAGCTCCCAGATGCCTATGCATAAAGTGTAAAGTGGTGTAAGCTTTGGCGACGTCCCTCATGTAATTTACACTGGTGTCTAGCTTTTCTGTTAAAATAAGGCCTATGTCGCGTTCTGATGGCACACAACTCAAGTTCTGGCCACCAAGGGTGTAATTTGCACTCTGTGACCTGCCGGAATGAAGTTGCACTACTTTGCACTTCTTTAAGTTGAAAGGCATTCCGTTAGCCAGAGCCCAGTCTCCCAGAGTTTGCAGGTCAGCCTGCAATCTGTCGGAGTCTTCCTATGACTTTATTGCTCTCCAAATCTTTACGTCGTCAGCGTAAAGAAGCGCAGAGCAATTCAGTTGACAGGGCAGGTCGTTGATAAAAATCAAAAACATCAACGGCCCTAAGATAGAACTCTGAGGAACCCCTGATGCCGAGGTGTGCCAGGATGACCGGATGCGGTTGACTTTGGTGCAGAATTCTCTCTCGCCTAAATAATCTTCCAGCCATGCGAGAAGTGCTCCAGAAACACCCGCTTTGCTTATTTTGTGAAGGAGCAGACCATGGTGAACTGTGTCGAATGCTTTCGCAAAGTCGAGAAAGATCACATGGACTGGTACCTTTACATCTCAGGATAGTGTCTAATCGTTCCAAGCTAGTAGAAGATTCGTCACACAGGATCTTCCCCTCCTGAAACCGTGCTGTGCTTCATGGAGTAGGTTAGTCCCGTCGAGGTATTTTCTCATGTGGTCGTCAATGAGACTTTCCAATATCTTCGATATCACTGGGAGTAGCGCAATTGGTCTGTAACTGGTCGCGTTCTGCCGGTCACCACCCTTGAAGACAGGGGATAGGATGGCTCGTTTCCATTCACATGGAAGTTTCCCTACATCAAAGGAGTGTTGAAACAGATCACTTAGGGGTTGGCAGAGACTTTCTGAACACTGCTTCAGGACGGATGGTCTTATGTCGTCGCAACCTGCAGACTTTCCCGAAGCCAACTTTCCCAATTTTACGAGTACCATAGCCGGGGTAATTTGAAATGCACCCAGCAGGTTTTCGCACGTTGGTCTTGCATTGTAATCTTGATGTTTTGTGGGGGTAAAATCCTCATTACTGTTCAGTTGCCTGTGAAAGGCTAGACTGAATGTCTCTGCCATTTCAAGACTAGTAAGAGATTTCCCATCAGAACCCACTAGATTGCAAGCTCCCTGGATGGTCGGTTTTCTTTCAGACATAAACCTGTATAGGCTTTTGGGGTTCACGAGAAGCTTATTGGCGAGGTTTCTCTGAAACGTCCTTCTATCACTCCGGACTCGTATGTTACATCGATTCCTGAGTTCGAGGTACACTTCATGTTCGGGTTGACTCTTTGATACTCGCCACGCAAACCAGGCTTTTCGCTTCGCCTGTAGTAGGCGTTGTGTCCCCCTTTTTAGCCATGAACGTTGCTTCCTAGCTTTAGGTGTGACTAAAGGAACAGTGTCTGAGACCGCCTGGTGAATGATCTCCTTTACCACTCTCCAGTGTTCTTCTACTGTTAGCTCTGTCCAATTTTTTGGCCAATTTGCTTCAGACAAAAGTCTTCGCATTTCGGTGTAATTGGCTTTGTTATAACACAGATAGGGCTGTGTATTGTCCCACTGTAAACGCTCGCGGAGGACTATGTCGAATGTTATGACCGCGTGGTCACTACTACCTATGGGAGTCGTGATCTGAACGTTTTCCACTAGTAGCTGGTCACTAGTGAGCACGTAATCCAGTCTAGAAGACTTCCCATCTGGACCCCATCTAGTACCCATTCTGACATTTTCAGTGAATCCGGCCTCCCTGATGGTATGCAGCAGATTTCGATCAAATCTGTCCTGGGCATATCCCGTCATCAAGTTAAGAGATGGGGCATTGAAGTCTCCAGCTATGACAATTTGATCATAACCCATGTCTTGTGTCGCTGAAATTGCATTCAGCAGTACCTGGTTGTGGTCTGCTCCACATGAAGGTGATCTGTAAATGCTGCCCACTAGATACTTACAGTACCCAACGGTGAAATGGCACCATATGGAGTCAGGGAGCTCAATGAGGGGAGGGTCGATTGCATGGACACATCTGAGCTGTTTGTCGACGTATATGGCGACTCCACCTCCTTCTTTCAGATTCCTATCTCGCCTGACTAGGACCATATCATTTATACTGACTTCGCTGTCTGCCGCCGTAGGGGTTAGCCAGGTTTCCGTCAGTATTATGATTTTGGAGTTCAGCTGTGATTGTAGGTATCTAAGTTCAGCTATTTTGCCTCTTAGACCTCTCACATTACTGTACAGGCAACTGGTAGTCAGTCTCACCACGTCCCCGTATTGCGGGGTGGTTGACGTGATGTGGGCTGTCGGTTGAGGAGTTATCCTACGAACTAGTTGGCCGATACCCCGGGAACCGGCCTGTTGTCGTTTTTTCTTCTGATTCAGTCGGAGCACTTGCATGACACTGGCTATCATCGTCCGTGCTGCACCGCTGTATTGTGACTAGGGGTTGGGGATGTTCTATGACAACGTTTTGTTCTCTCCTTTGGGTACGAGGCCGGCTCTCGCAGCAGCGAATGTGTCTGCTGACCTTGTCCTTGGTCTCGTACCATATCTGGAGAGCAGTAGTCAAGTGGTCTCGGGAGCTGAACTTAACAGCGAACAGACGTGGAGTGTTAATTGTCATTTGGTGAGTGGGTCGAGGCAGTCTAAAAATTGAGACAGCACCTGAACTTCCCAGACCATCTGAGATGCCAACCATCTCCATCGCTGTACATCGTGATCCCATCAGTTTTGTAGTCAGTTCCACAGTCTCGTGTTTAAATCGCTGATTTACCATTCTCAAAAGCACCTAAGCACTTACTGTTCGGGCATCCGATAACAGTATTTAACCAGTTACACGTACGACTGCAGTTTCGCGTGTTACCCTTTTATATACTGGTAAGTTCTCATATAGTCCTTTTCCAATGAGGCATGCATTCTTAGGCATATTCTTATGATTTTAGAGTTTCCACGTGATATCCACAGACCAATGTGATAGAATATATGTAAGGAAGCATAAAGTGAAGAATTATGCCATTCACTTTTTTAGATAACTCAAATACTTCGGGGAATTATGTCTCACTGTCTGTGGCTTTTAATAAATATTATGTTTATTCAAACTAGATAGGGGATGCTAAATTCTTCGAGAAATCATTAAGGAAGTGCAGGATATTTGGTGAGTGTATGGTTGAACTAGTAAAAGATCAGAGTTAGGGTCAAGCCGAGAAACTGTTGGGGTTAAGTTGTGGGAATATTAGGATTGTTTGAGGCTGGATTGGGGTACATTAAGGAGAGATGTGAGTCACAGTTAGGTAAGAAAGGCGTGGACTCTGGGTTAAAGTTAATCAGTGATATATTCTGGTTAGGATTGAATAAAAGTCTTAAATTAGCCCTCTGATGTCGACTGTTACTTTAAAGGTCTCTGGTGCGTTCGCCCCTAACTCTGCCATGATATAACAATATTTCTCTATCCAATATCGAAGATACTTGCAATCTGAATGTAGTGGATCACTTATGGAATGATGCAAAGCAATGAACCTTGAGTCATCGCGCCTAAGTCAACTCTTCTTGTTGCTATAGACGTTCGCTCTGCTCGCAGGGTTGTTTTCCCCATTTGTGGTTTAGTGTGGGCTGTTGGGCAGGTGAAGCTCCAGTTATCACAATTTTTCCGATGAGGTCAGTTTCGGTCCATTCGTTATATAATATATATATATAAGCAAACGCAAGTGTTTAATCAATTAAATTTACTTAATTAAGCACTTGCGTTCACTATGCTTATTCTTTATAAGTTGCTGCAATAATATAGGAGAATGAACGCCCATTATTGTCTGTCTTTTATCCCTTTTAGCGGATCTAAGCGCGGAAGGAAATCTGTCATGGGTCTTGACCTAACAAATATCATTGATTCCCCACCAGGAAGTGCCGACTCGAGTGGAACTCGCAGAAGATCCTTGAGATTACGCCGCAAATCTACATGTGCAGTGTCCCATGACGAACAAACACTACCATCTAGAAGATATCGTCGAAAGTCTGTGATAGACCCGCAAACTCAGGTAAGTGCGTCTGCTACGTTGAATAAGTTACTTGTTTATTTATTGATTTATTTATTTTCATTCCTTCACGTTCCCAGTGGAATATAGGGCTTCAAGCTAGAGACTTGAATTTTCTGTAGCAATGTTTATTTTTACAGCATGGGGTTGTTAGCAGAATGACAAGGGTTTGATACTAAACATATGTTCAACGTTAAATTACTTTCGATGTGCAGGAATGAAAATGAGTCAGCACATCAATAAAAGACGACAGCACGTGGGAATATTTAGGACTTCGCATATTGGATATTGGATGGGGTTTCTATCCTCTCGCTCAACCGATTTCTCTTAAGCAGCTTCATTTCTGGTTCACCGAGGTTTAGGAGTGCGTTGGCCGGCGGTTGAAACCGTGTGGACATCCGAGGTCGAGGGGAATTCTACCGCTGCACCGTGAACTCAGTATGTTCATATAATCACTGTTAAATAATCTTTGTTCCACATACTTTTTCAATATAGATTTTCCAAATTGAAACGTCATTAAGACAAGGTTTATATATAACGTATTCACCGTATTGGATATCGATACCATATCACTTTATTGGTCTTGTTTTGCATTCGAATGTAGTCTGCGTTAGCATTGTTGACAGTTGGCTGATGTAGTTGTTAGCTATATCAGACTATTACGAATATTCGTCACATCTTCTGTATGCGAATTGTTCAGTGCTTCTGTTTAAAGATTTCAAAACTGGTAGTCTGTTTAAATGATAAATCAAAATAGTGAAAGTAACACAGGACAGGACATATAAAAACTTGGACCGTGGTGTTGCCATTTTAACGCATGCTTTGTACTTGATTGCATAGATGAATCACATATATATGAGTTCTCATACATTCAAATATCCTACTTCAAGATAGTTATTCCATTCGTTAACCGTTTCTAGCTTTCGCGAAATTCTTCACTTCTGTCCACTTTAAGTACCCAGTCGCCTTGTGTGAAAACCCAAGCATTTTGATTTAGTTGTCATTTATATAAACATCCCCTTTCTCTCCGTCTCTCCTTGTTCATAAAACATACAAATCTACAGTGCAAATTTAAGCTGGTTTTCCGTTAATCTTTCTGACGGGTCGAGCACATACCCATTTGAATTACATTGTCATGCTTTAAGATATGCTCGGCATGTACGTCTTGTAGCTTGAATTTTGTTGATGCATCATATTGTATTTCAAAAGCCACTATTTTCTTCATAATTTCTTGGTCCTCAAATTAATAGAACGAACAAACTGAATAGCTATTACCTAGGTACATGAGACTATGCTTTACATTGCTAGTATCTTCAACCATGAGTAATATATGGTACTAATCCACACTTTAATTAATATTCCTTTTTTGTAGACGGATGCAGTTTATGACGCATCGTGCAACTCTTCTCATTCGCCTGCCCAGAATGAAAAGAATGTACCATGTACGGATATTTTTGCACAGCCATGCTGTACTGCGTCACCCGATAAGGTATCTGTCTTATCGCAAGATGAATTGGAAAATGTCAGACCTCAAAGTCCTCCACACATACCATCAGATATTAAAGATGTCTATCTTCCTAATAAGTATACGCCCCCGAAACACAGGGGTTTGCCAACTATTTTGGAAAATTCTGTTGAGAAAAACCAACGCTGCCACAGGTTATGCAGAAACACTGAGCGTTCCCCCTTACGAAGGCAGATATTTACAGGACAAACACTCGAAGAAGCATGCATCCCTACAGCTCCCGGCGTCGCCCCTCTGGATCCAGATCTTGTCTTATCAACAACACGCAAGCGTATCGCGAAGCGCCGGAGGCTTGCCAAGAAGTTAGGATTTAAAGGTATTACCATATCCAAAAAAACAGAAAATAGGTTCAGCAAATTCCTTCTAGAATCAGCTTTAAATTCTTCTCACAGTAGTTCAACTTCTGATTGAGTGAAGAAAATTTTCGTAGAGCCTCTCTGTAAAAGTCTATTCCACTCCCTACTGCGTCTTTCAATAAAATATAACATTGTATAGGGTTTTTAAAATGTATATTTACCGCTTCATTCTTGAACGTCTATAGCATTTTACTGTTTGTGGAAAGATTGTATATTTATATACCATTAACTCTAACTATTTTTACTTTCTATTGTACAATAAACATTAAATTGATACGGCAAACTAAACCTTGTTTTAACCGAAATATTTGCTTCTCACTTTTTCCGTTTAGAGGTACGGCTAATTGATTAAGGTGCTTGGCTTTCAGCCACTGGTTTGTGAACTCGAACCAAACCAACCGTTGGATGTAACTAATTACCATGTGTAATTAAGTGCAAGTGGTTATTGAGCAATCTTCCTCTTCCAAAACTGAACATTGAAATCTACGCGAAAATATCCAAATAAATTAAGGATTGATTAGACAGTTAAAAATTGGGAAAATATCTGCAACTGTTCGCAAAAATGGTTAAGTGACTTACATAAAGTTACATAATGGCTTGTCATTGTTAGAGAATGTCATTTTAAAGGTGTGGTCTTGCTTATGTCACACGTCTGTTTTCTTTAATTATGTTAAGGGGAAACAACACTTGGATCACGATATTAGTTGATTTTGTGTTTTAAAAGAATTGATTATGAACTGAAGTAATTGCAGTATGAGGACCAAATACTTCAATATGACAGAAAAGTACTGACCCCATAATTGAAAACTACAGAATTTTTATGAATGTCCGATCAGCGTATGGTAAAGTTGTCCAGGTTAGATATCAATACCTTGAGCACTGAAGTTAGTGGTGGGCATGAGTTAATGTGCAGTTCAACTTAAATTTCTCGTTTTACTGAAGTAGCAGCTGTTGAGTGAGTAGTAGTGTGTTGCCAATCTTTTCCTAATGTGGTATTTTTTTCTTTTTTAGTAGTGGTTTTTGTGAATATATTTCATAACTAATTGTTCTCTTTGTTCCCTACTCGGCATTACTGTCTGAGTTCCATTCATGCCGTTTTGCTAGCGTAATTTCCTTCTATACGTCAAGTGGTAGATATCTTAATTTGTTTGTACAATTTTGGCTCTACAAGCGTTTTGATTGCAACGATATTCGTTCAGCTTTTGATAATGTTGGCAGTCTTATAAGTAGCTCTGTTCACGGTTTCAGTCAAGTAACACCAGTTAATAATTTTCTGTGAATTAGGGTTTGTGGATATTTGATAAAGTCAACTAAGAAAGTGTCGAAATAATATCAACTTTTAATCTTAGAAGTTGGGTATTATTAATCAGTAAAATACAACAGGTATTTCTTAAAGTATTGCTTTTAATCCTTATTTCATTGAGACAATAAGGGTAGTGACTAACTCTCGTTTTTCTAGCGCATCCCTTGTAATGCGTATTGTAAGAAGACAGAAGACATTAGGTGACTCATTCCCAATCGTTTACATATTTAGTATTTACTTGTTAAAAAAAGAAGACATTTCAGGCATATCTGAGCAAGTTTTGATTTAATTCGTTGAGAAGTGACTACACAATCTGGAAAAAATAATCACGTAACAGCTGTAGTGACTCAATGCATTATTCATTATTGTAGTTGACTCACACTGCAACTAAATGTTCGTCTTCTCGGAGTATGCGATAGTCGGTATAGAGGTGGATGGTGGACCTCTGTCAATTTGAGATATATAGCGCCAGCCAATAACATCGGGGAGTATTTGATTGCCACTTATGGTTTAATTCAGATCACATCACTAAATTATTTCACCTCATTTTCTTGTTGACTAGGTGTTTTGTATTAATTTAAGTTACGGTCAGAATCAACTGCATGCTTTTACTGTTTCTCAATTTCATCAGGAAATAGTTTCTGTACTGAACACTAACTAAAACCTGTACACAGAAACAGGTAAGAACAAAGATTGTAGTATCAATTTCGTATTAACGCAATAGCAGTAATTCCGGAAATTTCAAAATACAATGAAATTAGTATATATATATATACATATATATACCCAGAAAATTGTATTAACAAAAGTAAAATTAAGAATAACCAATAGACTCAGGGTAATGCATGGTATCTTTTTAATAGCCTATCACTAAATGTATTGTACGGTAACGACAGAAGACAAGAGAATTTAGTAACGGGATTATTTATTGGCAAATCGATACACAAATATAGGCAAGATACGTCTTCATGTATTAGAATCACGATTTGTATATATCTTCCGTAGTGTGCGTCTTTGTCTTCGTTCCATGTTGTTTCACAAGCATCATTCTTTAAATCCATCTCTCCGCTACCTGATATTCGTGGAGATGCCATACATATTCAAGTCTGCATCTATGCACTACTTAGAAATCCTGTCAGTAGCACACGCCACACTGCTTACCTATTTCCAATCCCCATACTGTATGAACTAGTAAATACTATTTATCTGGTTACCTTGCCACTCGAAATCAATTTGATTTTACTTACTTAGTCATATTTACGTCAAAATTTATTCGTCACATACCTGTCCATTGATACTACGACAACAACTCATATTTTTTAAGGACATGAATAGTATTTCTTAAGAAGAATAATCTTTCTTCAGACAAACTTATAAGGTTTATAGCCATGGTATTTAAATGTCCCATTGAGTGGAAGATGGCTATGTAGGATTCATTAATTTACGCATACATCAAATGTATGATTACATCAGCATTCCTTAATCACTATATTATTATCCTACCTTACCTTGCCAACAGCTATCGCCTCAAACATTTCAGTGCTTTTCTTCTGTATAAAATCTTGAAGGCGATTTAAATATCAGTCTAGTGATTCACATGTATGATATGTTTTGTTATGGATGAGGTTGGTGATCTGTCACCTGTCTTTATCGAAACTTGCGAATTTAAATGAAGTGCCTTCCGTCCTATTTGGGATTTGTCAGCCAGTTGTAGATTTGCATAAAAGGAGTTAAATAGCTGTATTAGATTTAAGTGATAAGATGAATAATTCAACGAATGAGTTGTAATCAGGATGCACATCACAACGAAGGAAAATATGGAATTATGTAAGATTTCTAAAGAAATACACGAGTTTCACTAAGCAGCCAGAATTCTCACCGTCAGCAACTCCGGTGCTTTGATCGGATAAAAGTATCATCGCACTCATTTTAATGGGTAATAATGAGAGTCAAATAACGAATCATCTTACAAATGAATAAGCATCTACAGGTGGAATCCAGAAGCAAAGAGTGTGATACTTGGGTTTACATCCAGATTCTTAAAGGCAAACAGGACCAGGGCTGTGACGGTAACTTTGAGGATACGAGACGCATCCGACTAGTCCGTCCGAAAATTCACTTTACTCATCGGTTTGTCACTCACTGAAGCTGTTGGCTGAGGCTTATGATCCCATCAGTTTTGTAGTCAGTTCCACAGTCTCGTGTTTAAATCGCTGATTTACCATTCTCAAAAGCACCTAAGCACTTACTGTTCGGGCATCCGATAACAGTATTTAACCAGTTACACGTACGACTGCAGTTTCGCGTGTTACCCTTTTATATACTGGTAAGTTCTCATATAGTCCTTTTCCAATGAGGCATGCATTCTTAGGCATATTCTTATGATTTTAGAGTTTCCACGTGATATCCACAGACCAATGTGATAGAATATATGTAAGGAAGCATAAAGTGAAGAATTATGCCATTCACTTTTTTAGATAACTCAAATAATTCGGGGAATTATGTCTCACTGTCTGTGGCTTTTAATAAATATTATGTTTATTCAAACTAGATAGGGGATGCTAAATTCTTCGAGAAATCATTAAGGAAGTGCAGGATATTTGGTAAGTGTATGGTTGAACTAGTTAAAGATCAGAGTTAGGGTCAAGCCGAGAAACTGTTGGGGTTAAGTTGTGGGAATATTAGGATTGTTTGAGGCTGGATTGGGGTACATTAAGGAGAGATGTGAGTCACAGTTAGGTAAGAAAGGCGTGGACTCTGGGTTAAAGTTAATCAGTGATATATTCTGGTTAGGATTGAATGAAAGTCTTAAATTAGCCCTCTGATGTCGACTGTTACTTTAAAGGTCTCTGGTGCGTTCGTCCCTTCAACTCTGCCATGATATAACAATATTTCTCTATCCAATATCGAAGATACTTGCAATCTGAATGTAGTGGATCACTTATGGAATGATGCAAAGCAATGAACCTTGAGTCATCGCGCCTAAGTCAACTCTTCTTGTTGCTATAGACGTTCGCTCTGCTCGCAGGGTTGTTTTCCCCATTTGTGGTTTAGTGTGGGCTGTTGGGCAGGTGAAGCTCCAGTTATCACAATTTTTCCGATGAGGTCAGTTTCGGTCCATTCGTTATATAATATATATATATATATATATAAGCAAACGCAAGTGTTTAATCAATTAAATTTACTTAATTAAGCACTTGCGTTCACTATGCTTATTCTTTATAAGTTGCTGCAATAATATAGGAGAATGAACGCCCATTATTGTCTGTCTTTTATCCCTTTTAGCGGATCTAAGCGCGGAAGGAAATCTGTCATGGGTCTTGACCTAACAAATATCATTGATTCCCCACCAGGAAGTGCCGACTCGAGTGGAACTCGCAGAAGATCCTTGAGATTACGCCGCAAATCTACATGTGCACTGTCCCATGACGAACAAACACTACCATCTAGAAGATATCGTCGAAAGTCTGTGATAGACCCGCAAACTCAGGTAAGTGCGTCTGCTACGTTGAATAAGTTACTTGTTTATTTATTATTTATTTATTTTCATTCCTTCACGTTCCCAGTGGAATATAGGGCTTCAAGCTAGAGACTTGAATTTTCTGTAGCAATGTTTATTTTTACAGCATGGGGTTGTTAGCAGAATGACAAGGGTTTGATACTAAACATATGTTCAACGTTAAATTACTT